AATAGCAACATGTCTTTACATAATAGTGACATATTGTTCTATAATTTAAACAACCATAAGAAAACTAGTTCCACCACAAGTATTTAGATCATTACAAATTAAAACTAAAAACTAACAAACAAAAGCAACAAAAGAAGATACTATGTGGGTTTAGGTTTTATATGGAATAAGAGAAGATACAATGCGGGATGGTGTATAATATAAATATAGGCTATTTATATACTGTCCAGATCGGTTTCAATCCGAAGCCGTGGGGTTCAATCCAATCGATCTGTGGACTACGAATTTTTAAATTTTCAGTCTGGAATCGAACCACGGATTCAAAAAAGCAATCTAAACCTACCATATTGGAATGAACCAGATCAGATTACGAATTTCACAGATTTCTTGCTCAGTCCTACCTCTAATTGCTGTCACTAGCCACCACTACAACCCTCTCCAGCCACCAAAGACTTTTCGCTACCTCAAACAATCACCCTTGCCATCACGAACAGCCCAACCCCTCCCTCTCGGCCATTATAAGTCATCTTTCCTCTACTTTTCTCCATTATAGAGAAAGATAGAGAGAAATCGGCACCAAACTTTCCTCGTAGCCTCGCAAACCTACTCGTAGCCCTAGTCCACATCGATGATCAGATGACAAGAGAGAGATAGAGAAAATCATGATCGTTAGCTTCAGAGAGAGAATCGAGTATGTAGGAAGATGGACAGAGGTGAAACAATGAGGTGCAAAAAGGACAAGGAACGAGGAGGCAGTGGAGGTAATGGAAAGATGAGGGGCTTGAAAAGGGCAATGAGATTCGCCGGAGTTAAGAGGGGCGATGAATAGTGATGACGGAAATGATGGCTATGATGGCGATGAGGTGGTGGCTAGGGTTAGTGTTTGTGATAAAAGAAGGTAAGGGTAGTTTTGTATTATTTCAAAAATTGGTATGCATTGAGAAAAAATTACAAAATTAAAATTGTATGCAGTGTGAATTGAGAAAATGGTGTGAATTGAGTGAATCAATGATATGAAAATAAAATCACCTTTTAAAAAAAAAATTATTTGTCAAAACTTAAAAAAAGCAACTATATAAGCACTTTCCAAACAATATTTTGAAAAAGCAACAAAATAAACAAAAGATAAAATAAATAAATAAAAACAACCAAATACCTAAACTACTTCTGAGAATTTTAATATTTTGGGTAAATTGCAATACACCCCATTTGATTAAAATATGAATCTCTCTTTATAATTTTGAAAATTACATTTTACCTTATGAGATTTCTAATTTCATAATAAATTGTGTATTTTATTAATAAATCATCAAGTCAATTAATAGTTTTTAATGATATTATAAATATGTTTCAATTAATAATTTAGGTAATTTTACTATTATATAGGAGAGCAATTATGAATTTTATTTTTTTTAATTAATTCTATTAAATAAAAAATTCTAATAAGAAATTTTTGAAATTTTTGAAACCATAAAGAATAATCTGTACTTTAAATAAATCTCAAGAGTGTATTTGCAATTTATTTATAATATATTTTTATTCTTTGGTGGAGTGAAGTCATAGACAGAACCACATCATATGCCAAAAAAAAAAAAAGTATGCTAGGAATTCAAAATAAATTATTAAATTTTCTATTAAATCTCTTATATAGCTGTGTCTTATATGGGTGTGAGACTTACATATATGTAATTTATGTGGATTCCACCACTATATGAGAGGTTTAATAAAAAATTTAATAATTTATTAAAGTCTATAGTATTTTTTTAAAAAAAAATTGGGCGCGTTAACGGGGCGAGATCACGCACTTGTGGGTCGGGGAAAAGATCCCCAATTGAAGCGGGGTTGGACACGTGTTACTCTAGATCAAGTCTCTTTGTTTTTTTGTTTTTTTGTTTTTTTATTTTTTATTTTTATTTTTTTTTAAAAACTAGATCAAGTCATTCGTAGTTCAAAACATAAGTAAACAAAAAAAAGTTGAGTGGAAGGAGAGTAAATGACAGAACTTATTGAATGGTGATAATGGTGATATAGAACTATAGTGGTATCATTTTTTTCGGTGGTGTTATATATATTAATTAATGTATAATTAGTGTTATATTATTATTATTGATTATACATATTATATAAATTATAAATATTTAAAATATTTAAAATTATATTACATTATTTATTAGTAAACTACTTAGTACATTAATTGATACATATAGCATTATTCAATTTTTTAAATTTTATTTTAGGCAATCATATATATATATATATATATATATATATATGTCGTAAAATAAAAAATAAATTATAAATATATTCTTAAAATTTGCTAAAAATACATATTGTCCTTTATAATTTTAAAAATTATATTTTATCTTTAAAATTTTGTTATCGCATAACAATAACATTTTTCATTAATCAACCATTAAATTAAGTTATAATTTCTAATGATATTAACAATATAATTTAATTAACAATTTAAATAATTTTATTATTAAATAGAAGGATAGTTAGAGATTTTATTTTTTCTTTCTAACTCTGGTAAATGACAAATTCTGACAATGAGTATTTGTAATTTTCAAAACTGAGATAATTTGTATTTTCAACAAACTTCAAAAAGTATATTTGTAATTTACCCAATAATAAAAAGGAGAGGGCTTCTCTCCAATTAGTAATCTAGTCCATTTTATAGCTCACTTTGATAATTTGAACTATTTATTTTATAAGAATAAATTGACTTAAAAAAATTAAGTTGATTGAATATTAGTAACTATATGTTCAGGTTACATTGGTTATATAAAATTGGACGGTAAATATTATTCGAGAATAGATTGTCTATTTTTAGAAGACAAATGTAATTCTATCATTTGTTTATTGATGCCCAATCAACTTAATTTTTTGTATGAAAAAATATTATGAACTAGTTTGGTCATAAAAATTACAACATTTGTGATGTTTTTTTTTTGGTTAATTACATTAATAGTCCCTATAGTTTGGGACTTGTGTCACTTTGGTCCCTGACTTTTCAATTGTGACACATTTGACCCTGAGTTTTGAATCTTGTTCCAAATAAGGACAATTGAAAATATTATTAGATTTTTCAAGGGTAAAATAGTCAATTTGATAAAATATAAACTAATTTGACAAAAACAATATTTTTAATTTTTTTAAAATTATTGTTATCCACCAATGAAAAAATTATGTAAAATTAATAAAAATTACATGATTAATTTTTTAAAATTAATTTTGTATGATCATCATCCAAACACATAATAAAAATTTATTTGGAAAAAAAAAAAATAAATGTCTAAAAGATTTATCAATTTTACATAATTTTATTTTTAGTAGGTAGAAATAATTTTTAAAAATTCACAAATATTTTTTTCACATTTATTTTTGTCAAATTAGTTTATATTTTATCTGTAAGAAATAATGTATAGAGAAAGAGAGAGAGAATAAATTGTATGTATTATTGATTGATGTTTGTAATTGTTTTTATTACAATGATTCATGATTCCTATATATAGAAGAGGGTGAGTGTGTAGTTAATTATATATTCAATTGTCCTTATTTGGAACAAGATTCAAAATTCAGGATCGAATGTGTCACAATTGAAAAGTCAGGGTCCAAAGTGACACAAGTCCCAAACTATAGGGACTATTTGTGTAGTTTGCCTTTTTTTTTAACAAAACATTGTAATTACATTAGGAAAATTACAACTTAATGGTGTCAGAGGGAAAAAAAAATACAAAAAGGTAACAAATATTATAAATATTAATAATTAAAATCATAATATTTTCACTAATGTGCAATAATTTTTCAAAATCTATTCTCAATAGAAATTTCCCCATTACAATATGTGCGTTGTGACAAAATATGATATGCCTCTTTTCATGGATCACACTGTAACTCTCTTGTACCATTTTTCTTGCTAACATGGGAGTCAAGCAGGTGTGGCATTTTAAAGGATCTTTCAAAAAGCTTGATGAGTGGTATTTGAGAAATAAAACTGCAGAAATTATATTTAGTGGTTACTTTTAAAAAATTATTCCAGATTTATAAAAAAATCTATAATTTTAATTATTAATATTTATAAAATTTACTATTGATTTGATTTTTTTTTCTCTCCCCCCTTGAAACTTCCATTAAATTGTAATTTTTCCAATATAATTCGTTTGGATTAAGGAGAGGGGAGTAAAAAGAAGTCTAAGTGGAAGTGAGGAAGCAACCAAATTTAAAAGGAAAAAAAATAAAAAATTATCTATTATGAATGAACATTGTTGAATATCAATTTCAAAAGAAATGATTGAGTACTTGATCTTGGGGGTTTGAAAGTGAGGAAGATGTGCAGAAAAGTAAAGAAAATGATGTAATAATTTATAGTAATTTTTTTATTTTTTAGACTAAAATATTTTAGTCCCAAACAGGACTAATCTAATTAATAGCCATTAGTGACCTTTCTTTTCTTTGATTTTGACTGATTATAGAATGTAGTTTTCTTGTGTGTAAGCAAATTAATGGAATGGAGAGTGAGAAATATATTTGAAATCAAAAATGAAAGATGGGGGAAATAAGGAAAGTGGGTTGGAGAAAATAAATAAAAATAATGGAGTGTGAAATCAAACAGAGGAGAGATGATTTTTTTATTTTTTTATTTTTTTATTTTTTGTTTAATATAATAAAAAAAAAAAAGAGATATATATATATATATATAAAATATAGAAAGTGGGGAAAGTGGTGGTGGATGCAAAGTGGGTTGGAAAGTGAAAAGATGAGAGAGAGAAGGCATGTGGGTGGAGAATATGTTAATAGATTAATAAAATATGAGCTGTGAGAAGGGTTGATTAATGGAATGGAGAGTGAGTGTCAGATCCACTCACACTTGTTTTCCCAATACGTCTTCGTGAAAGCGACAATAGAACTGTGAGCAGAGTACCAATTCGGTGCTGGCATTCCTCAGATTTATGCCGCATCCCTCACTCTTGAATCTGAGCTTCCTCAGCTTAAGAATATCATATGGGATTGGAAGAGAACCATCTTCCAAGCTTTCTTGCAGTCTCAGCAACTTTCTTTAAATGTTGATATGTAAAGACATTCCCACAAGGATTGCCAGGATTAATAATAGCCATAGCGACAGTATTTTCATTTGCTAGAGCTTCAACTGCATCAAGATCTACCTCCCAACCTTTCTTTGGAAGAAGATCATAGTGGCGGACTTCAAGATGGCTAAATGCAGCACGGGCTTCATAGAGTGGGAAGCCTGGTCTTGGGAGCAGATTATTCACGGTAACAGTAACAGAATTTGTACGCTGCAAATCCTGGAAAATTAATTCACCTGGGATGTGGGGAAGCACCTCCCGTACGGTTTCGGCCATGGCAAGTACGTTTGCTATGTTGTCATTTGCAACTCGTGAGGTAGACCTCATATGTAACCCCACAGAACCAGCAGGAGGAAGGGTGGAATTGGATGTACCAGCCTGAGAGGGATTCATAGGCCAAAGGCTCCAAGCAGTGTCTTCAAGGGTGGTCTGGCCAGGGTCTAGATGGGGCTGGTCGGATCGGATCGGAATGAAAGATCAGACTTTAGGACAGAGAAGAGTGAAGGTATGTGTAGAAAATTTTAGTGGACTAGGTTGAGGTCCGGCGGACGGCCAAGGCGAGGTTGCCGCCCGCCGGTGAAGCGAAAAATACTAAGTGCTTAACCTTGCTCTGATACCATGTAAGAAATAATGTATAGAGAAAGAGAGAGAGAATAAATTGTATGTATTATTGATTGATGTTTGATGATTGATATTGATATCTGATTATTGTGCAATTGATATTACAAGGCTTCCTATTATATAGGAGAGGATTTGGGAGTGGGTTATGGTAAATTCTAATAGCCCCCTGCAAACTCAAGGAGGATAGAAACTAACCAACTTGAGTTTGAAGGGAGGAACAAATCTAATTATATATTCAATTGTCCTTATTTGGAACAAGATTCAAAATTCAGGATCAAATGTGTCACAATTGAAAAGTCAGGGACCAAAGTCACACAAGTCTCAAACTATAGGGACTATTTGTGTAGTTTGCCTTTTTTTTTACAAAACATTGTAATTACATTAGGAAAATTACAACTTAATGGTGTCAGAGGGAAAAAAAAAATACAAAAAGGTAACAAATATTATAAATATTAATAATTAAAATCATAATATTTTCACTAATGTGCAATAATTTTTCAAAATCTATTCTCAATAGAAATTTCCCCATTACAATATGTGCGTTGTGACAAAATATGATACGCCTCTTTTCATGGATCACACTGTAACTCTCTTGTACCATTTTTCTTGCTAACATGGGAGTCAAGCAGGTGTGGCATTTTAAAGGATCTTTCAAAAAGCTTGATGAGTGGTATTTGAGAAATAAAACTGCAGAAATTATATTTAGTGGTTACTTTTAAAAAATAATTACAGATTTATAAAAAAAATCTATAATTTTAATTATTAATGTTTATAAAATTTATTATTGATTTATAAAAAAATCTATAATTTTAATTATTAATATTTATAAAATTTACTATTGATTTGATTTTTTTTTCTCTCCCCCCTTGAAACTTCCATTAAATTGTAATTTTTCCAATATAATTCGTTTGGATTAAGGAGAGGGGAGTAAAAAGAAGTCTAAGTGGAAGTGAGGAAGCAACCAAATTTAAAAGGAAAAAAAATAAAAAATTATCTATTATGAATGAACATTGTTGAATATCAATTTCAAAAGAAATGATTGAGTACTTGATCTTGGGGGTTTGAAAGTGAGGAAGATGTGCAGAAAAGTAAAGAAAATGATGTAATAATTTATAGTAATTTTTTTATTTTTTAGACTAAAATATTTTAGTCCCAAACAGGACTAATCTAATTAATAGCCATTAGTGACCTTTCTTTTCTTTGATTTTGACTGATTATAGAATGTAGTTTTCTTGTTTGTAAGCAATACTAGGAATTCCAAAAATATTATCAAACACTTATATGAGTATGAGATCCATTTTTGATAGAATATTTAGTCTCTTACATTTTTGTTTTTCTTTAGATGTATTGTTATGAAATATTTAAATCTCTAACATTTTTGTTTTACTTTAGATGTTTTGTTTTACTTTAGATGTATTGTATTGGAGATGCCATGTACAATATATTTTTGATCTTTATGAAATATCTTACTTTCTAAACAAAAAGTTATTCATTCAAATTTTTTATACAAAACCTATCACTTGAATGATGCGGCAGTTGGTATTTTTGTAAGAAAAATGACTCACAAACCAAAATGTACTTGTTTTTTTTCTTTTTTGTATAAAAAGCTTTACAACTATTATATATATATATATATATAGAGAGAGAGAGAGAGAGAAATTTACAATGTGCAGGTGCACATTTTAAAAAAGTTATGATTTTTTATGATGAATATTATGATTATTTGTGATGTATGTTATGACATTTTATAGTAAAGTTATAAATAGTGAATTTATGATGCGCATCTTAAAGTCAAGAATGATAATGTGATGATATTTTGTGATTTTTGTTATGATACTTTGAAATTTTGTTATAACATTTTTCAATGAAAAAAAGTTACGATTTTTATAATCAAAAAGTTATGATATTTTGGGTTTAAGTCATGAAATTTGGTAAAAAAGTTATGAAAAACATACAATATGTACCTTTTTGAAAGTGCACATTGTTGCATCTGTATATATATATATATATATATATATTGGTAATTAAAGGATTACAAAATGTCACATTATTTTATATAGAAAATTTTTACACAAGGTACATTTATATTAGCCGCCTTATTATTTTTTTTGGGTAATTAAAGTGTATCTTGATGAATTTTTGTTTTAAAGTGTTAGATTAAAAACTCAACTACAATACTATAGATTCCGGAAAATGTTATTCCCATGTCACTTATTCGTAAAAATACACACTAAAATCTATTTTCTAATATACATTGGGAATCATGTGTACTTTTAGACACTAAAGACAAATTTTGAATTATATTTATAAAAAAATAAAAATAAAAATAAAAACTCTTACCCAACAAAAAAGGAGAATAAAAATTTCCTAATTTTTTATTTTTTTTTATTTTTAACATAGATGTGCATAAACATGAAAACAAACAAAGGGAGAAAAAAATTATTTTCACTTTATTCCATAATTCTGAGAAATTATTCACTCATTTTCTTTATAATTGCAATTAAAATTTTGTTTCGGTGTCCGAAATTACAAACAACACCATTCTTAATGCACACTTAAAAAAACAAAATTAGAGTACAACACTAACGCTATGTTTGAATTGAGTAATTTAGAGAGAAAAGAAAAAATGAATTGAATGATTTGAAAAGAAAAGAAAAGAAATTCAGATGTATGTATTTCTCATACTTGTTTGGATAACCTAAGTGAAAAGAAATGGAAAGAATTGAAGAGAAACTCATTTCTTTTCTAAGTCTCATTTTCAATTTTCCCAAAAGTAAAGAGATTGGAAGAAAAAAAAACCCACTATTTTCATAATACCAATTTTATCCCTATAAAAATAAAAGAAATAAAATGATTGAAAATATAAAAAGATTATTTTAGTAATATAACATAAAATAATTTCTTTTCTTTTCTTTTCTTTTAATGAAATCTAACCAAACAAGAATTGAGAGAAATCACAATCATTTCTTTTCTTTTCTTTTATTTCTTCCTTATCCAAACAAAAATGAGAGCAATCACAATCATTTTTTTTCTTTTCTTTTTTTTTATATTTTTTTTATAACTTAAGTAATCATTTCTTTTCTTTTTTCCCCTAAATTCCCAAACATAGTGTAAAGAAGTGGAACAAGAATTGACATTATCCTGAAGACAACCCTCATTCACATGTTAACTAGTATGTAATTTTCCAGCTTTCAAATGCAAGAAACCTCCGTTATTGAAGCTTCTAAAGCACAATTCATGATTTAAATAATACCTTAGTCTTCACAAAAAGAATTAACAGATTATTATAATGAAAATATTCTTTTGGATTTTTAATAAAAATGAAAGACTGGGAAAAGAAATAAGAACATTTCAAAAGGATTGAAAAAAAAAAAAAACAAGTGACTAGTCGGTCTTTTTTGACATAATACTCTGCAGATGCTAATAAAATCAATGAAGTTCTTCAAAGACTAACAATTTGCAAATTAAACACACAAATCAAAGAGGTACACTTTATCAAGAACTACATTTTTCAAAGAAGAAAATGATGATGTGAACTACAGGCTATCCAGCAGTACAAGGGAAAGATAATTTCTACCAAGGCATGGACTCGAAAGTTTACTGCAACTGTCGCCGGAGATAGAGCACCCACCAGAAACATCAAAAGGATGAAACCCGCCCGCTTAGCTTCCGGCTGCAGCAGGCACAGCAACTGGCTTCGAGTCTTCTGCCTTTTCATGTTCTTTGTTGAGCATCTGGCATCACATTTCCAAATTTTAAGTCACCCAGTAATATAAACATGATTTGTGAAATTATACACAGAAAATCACGGTCGGGTTCCACTTAATTATTGTTGAGACAACTAGAATAATGTCAAAATAGCTAGGTAGGTGTATAAGTTGGGAGATTTTTTTCCCCCCATCTTGATTGGTTACAAGCCTAAGCGCCAACTCATGATTTATGTAAATCAGTTACGGAAAAGACTCGTGATAGATTTGCTTAATTGCATCAACAAGCATCCCATAATATTGAGTTGTTGACCCCGGTGCACATTGGATGTCATTGGCTTGCAAGATTTTGATTTTTGACTCCAAAATATTCAGTATTTAGATGATGAAGCAACATAAACTATTGGTGTCTGAACTAAGTTTAAGTTGAGATGGATGTGCCCAAGAAGATCATGAATTTGGCTTCGATGACACCAGCTGGACCAGGCTACTCCCTTGTGTGTATATATAGATATGTGAAACTAATGCATTTAGTTGATTGTTTCTATGGAAAATGTAAATTGACACACTGAAAGAAGTTCCTAGGTGCTCAACTTGTTCCAGAATTGGACAGATTGATATCACTCTCGATGCAAAAAGTGGTTTAGTAAGCTACAAGTAGACTATAAAATCCAATGAATTCGACATTGATAACCCTGTCAATGCAGAGTGAATTAGTATGCCACAAGTCATTGCTATAGAATCAAAGAGGCTATATCATTGTGACATTGTCATAATTTCAAAACTCTGAAAGCAAGTGGTCAACATTGGCCTCCCCATTCCTAGAACGACTGAGTGCTTGAATTTCTAATATGACTCATGTACAGGCCAAGACCTACTAATTGATAAGCTATATATTCATATGCCTACAAACAAATAAGAACATATATATATATATATATATGTATAGAAAATATAAGCCACCAGTTAGAATCCAAGATTTGGGCAGCTAACCTTATTGTTGATCAAGTTATGGAGAGCGATTACACTCCGGATGAGGGAAGAAAGATAAGTGACCAACATCATATCATTTGTTTTCACTGCACAGAGATAATAGATCAACAATTCAGAAAAGAAAATAGTTGTTTCCGAAAATCCAGAAACCGATGGCAAAGACACAGCAAAGGATATCTGGGATTTAGTTTATTTACCTGCAAAGGCTTTAATTAGTTCGGTCACATTGAGATTCGGAAGTAGGTTAAAGACATCCTGCAAGAAGAAATTTTGAAAATTGAGAACAGAGACAAAGACCTACCCAGATTGTAGCTGCAGCAAAACAATGACCACCACCATCACCACCAAGAACAAAGTCAATAATCTTAAAAAATGGATTTAATAGGGCTCTGAGGAAGTTTCTTTGAAACTCAATGATAAAATAATGAGCTGCTACATATTTTTGTCAAATACAGGAACAGGCTGAGAAGTACAGATTGGACGGACAAACAAACATAATCAAACCAAACCAACGCATTGTGTCTCAATCAACTGATGTTGGCTACATAAATCCTTTTTATCCATTATGCTCTATCAAGGGCCAAACACATTGAGGCACCACTCAGCAATGGAGGGTCAAAGGGAAATTGAATTGGGACATGTTCAAATTTTGTATTTGTTATATGTCATATATATATATGAATAATTTATTAAAAGATAATGAAAACATGCAATGTTACATAACACTAATTACAATCAAAAAGCTATATATTTCATAACTTAAACATCAAGGAGTCATTCACATAACAATTACATTTACACATGATGTATTTATCTTATAAAAGTTTCGAAACATATTTAGAGTATATAAGTAGTATCATGAAGAACGTAAAACATTGTTATTATGAAAAGATTCAAAACACAAGACATGAAGGATTCAAGAAGTGTCAGTAAAGTGTCCGATATTGTGCACTTTTATTCTTCTTTTATCTCTTAACCTAGCTACATCGGGCTCTTTAACAAGTGTTGTAAGTCATCAACAATTTCTCTCGCTCCTCAAAAGTCTGCAGGAACGGAGTTGATGCTCCCACATCCATAGCATGAGCAGTTAAAGCAAGTGAATGATTTGAAATTTGAGTTGGAAAAAGGAACCTGTAAATGGCACAGAATCTCATGGTTCAATGGAAGCTTCCCATCAATAACAAGGTCAAGATAACTGCGTATCTCTTGAAGTCGTGCATCCAACCCCTTAAGGGCTGCAAGTTTCCCAGTCACCTGCAGCAGACAAAGAGAACAAAGTTTATTTTATCCTTCTTCTTCTCCTTCTTCGTCTTCAATAGTCCAATTGAATTGAGTTATATTCCAGTGCAGCCAATTTCTATTTCTCTCAAATCTTTTTAAAATTAGAAACAGATATGCACCGGACATGTACCAGGCAAGCAAGGAAAAGGAAACCAGAACAGTAAAGAAAGAATACCTCTGTTGCAAGGGTGCTAATGGTTGTATCCTTCACATCCCTCAGCAAGTGCTCAACCCCTGTTGAATAAAGAAGACAGTAGAAATTAAAGATGAAGCTGATACAGAAACAAGATAATATGCACATATATCATATATGTGAATTTTTTAGAGGCACTAAGTAAGTTGGCAGGTTGGCATCTTCTTTAAAATCAACAAAGAACGAGAGAAGGCGCTGAGAAAAAAGAAAAACAAGATGCAGGGGGGAGAGAGAGAGAGATGTAGCATCTATTTCAGGTTTCTATCCCAAGTGGCATACCAATTTCCTCAACTTCATGAGCGGCAATTTCTGAAGGCACATGCACAAATACCTTCTGGCTTTTCTGAGTAGCATTCTGCAAACATATCCAACGATCAGATCAACTTCCAAGCAGATTTGAGACATTCTGCCCAGAATGACAAGCTTTAACCATTAAAGCATCTCAGTTAAGTCAGTCATGCATTAGCAATTACCACGTAACATCACTGAATGATTAAAAATTGTGATGGAAATGGAAAACTAGACGGTTACTTTTACCTCTTTAACCTCTTCAACAGCATAGTAAGCTTTAGTTGGAATCCCCATCTCCTTAGGCTGGACATCAATTATGACCAAGACAGGATTGGGAACGTAGCTGCAATACCACCAGTAAAAATTGCACAAAAGTGCAAGAAGGCCAGAAAATTGTTATAGACAACGAAGTGAATTCTAAAGGTAAAACAGACATTCAATTTGCGAAGAGACATGTTATATATATTGTTGCTTGCAAAATGTTACATGCCACCATAAAAGCCCGTTTCCCTTGATAATCCAAGGACAAAATTGAGAGATATGGTGGCAAGCAATTGATGACAGATACATGACCAGCTTGTAAGAGATTTTATTGTGGGACAAAGCACAATACACATTGGGTAAGGCTTGTGATTAGACAGCTGATCAAAAGTCATTATGGACCAAATCATCATAGGGATAAGTGATGTGCCTTGGAACCAAATATTCAAGAACCTTCTGGAAATGGTGTAGAAAATCGATGATTCTAATAGGAGTACATAATGATACTCTTCCATTAACCAAACAAATAAATAAACAAACAAACATAAAGGAACAATATGTCAATAACAATAACATGATGCTATCCAATGCAATACATGAAGTGATTCTAAACTAGCATTAAGTAGTTTGAACAAGAAGATAATATTTAATCCATTTATATTACTCAAAATGCATAGAAAACAGATAGTCATGGAAAAGGCACCCCAACTGATATTTTTCCTTTTAATTGATGATAATACAAGAAAGAAAACATAGGAAATGGAAACAAATATGTTCACATAAAAATCATCATTTACCACAACATGTACAAAATTTCACTAATGCTTCCATTGCATGAAATCAATCATGTGAAGATCTGTCTTTTATCCAAGTGCAATCCACTGTATGTGTGGGCTAACCAATTCCCTTCAATTATGATTAACAAATCCAAAGTTAGAAGTCAACGATCATGTTAAGATCACAGCTGCATGAAGCGGGAGCAGAAGTGGAGGCGACCATGGGGGAGGGAGGGCCCTATAAAAGAGTGCAAGGTTGGGAGCAAGGAAAGCTCTCATAGTTGTTTCCTGCTACTAAGGTTAAGATTAAAAATTACTTAATTGAACATATGAAGGCACCAAAAGCTGCCCTTGCCGACTACAATACCACACCCATTGAGATGAGAAAATGGGCTAACAGGGAATTTCCCAGAGCTTCACCTTCTTCACTTTAGGGCATAACAGTTTCTATCAATAGCCATGAAACTATTATTGAACTCAAAAACATGGATATGGACATACACATGGGACACAGACACACATGGCGGGGATACGGCAATATATATATATACATTTATTTATTTGCTATGTATAGTAGATGAATAAAAATTTAGAGAATAGAGACAGGCATTATGTTTATGTGGGTGTATTTTTATTTTCACCTTCCTCCCTCTTTGCTTTCATATATTTTACTTTGACCCCAAATATTTTTTCTAACATTATAAAAAAGAAACTCACAGGGGTGTCCTGAAGGATATCCAAACACAAGATGTGTGTCTGTGAAGTGTCCTGTAATAAAAATAATTTTAAAAATTGACATGCCACGTGGCATGTCTGCAGCATGGACATGAACTCTGATGTGTCAGTGTCTCATACATGTTCAACCAGATAAATGACACCCATTTTGAAATGTCAATGCTTCATAGCTATTAACATATATAAGGCATTAATGTATATGTGGGTGTATTTTTATTTTCACCTTCCTCCCTCTTTGCTTTCATATATTTTACTTTGACCCCAAATATTTTTTCTAAAATTATAAAAAAGAAACTCACAGGGGTGTCCTGAAGCATATCCAAACACAAGATGTGTGTCTGTGAAGTGTCTTGTAATAAAAATAATTTTAAAAATTGACATGCCACGTGGCATGTCTGCAGCATGGACATGAACTCTGATGTGTCAGTGTCTCATACATGTTCAACCACATAAATGACACCCATTTTGAAATGTCAATGCTTCATAGCTATTAACATATATAATTTGAAATTTGAACATATTCAAGTTACTCGTTTCTTCCTTCTCTTTCTTTATCTTACTACAATTTTTATTGGGCATATCCTAGTGAGAAGCTACAATTACTAAAAATACAATTCTCTTAGAAGTTTGAATCTCTATAGCTGATTAGTTTACTTTCTTAATGATGGTAAATGGAAAATGACTGCCCATATCCCCATCAGCAGCTAGAGATTTTGAAAGATCAAGGGCACCTACAAACATAACCATTTCTTTTTCCCATGAAAACAAACCTCATTACAAGATTCTCTGCAGAAAAATAGATGACAAGTTTAGGTAGAAGATCACCAAGACCCGGAAGAGGAAGAAGTAGCAAAATGATCTATTGACGATGAGACACATCAGACAAAAACAGAACTAACTCAATTGTTGAATCCCGCACCACAAGGGAAAAAGAAAAAGAAATAAGACACTTGAAAAGAAAGACAGAACACAGATGTTAATACAGTGCAAAATAGTATGAGCAAACCAAGGTTCTCAAACAACACTAAAGCAACCTTAATTTTTGGTTATAGGAGTAGATAATCTTACTCATTGAATAGCCCATGAATATTAAGGTCATTTTCCCGTAACTTTGGACCAGTGCTATACCACCCCACAACATGCTCCTTTGCTGAAAAAAGTTATAAATCAATTGCAACAATAAGAATAGCAATAATAACATGAGTAATGACAACTAGAATAATAATAATGATAATAATAAAGGAAAGGAAACCGAAAAGGAAAAAGAAATGAAGGGAAAGGATTACAGAGAAAAAAAAATTTATACCATTTATTCTCCTGAACATGGAAAACATTGATTCATGGTAATTGTGGTCGAGAAACCAGATGCTTGGATCCTTGTCGTCTTCTTCAAAAGGTACTGCACATGTTAAATAAAAATATTAGAAGGGACATACTAAATACATGCATCTGGAAAGGTAACTGTGTTTGAAACCAGACAACATGAGTTATAGAAGAAAAATGGAACGAGTGTTACTTATACCATTTATTCTTATAGCACTTCCAACAAAACTCAAAAAAAAAAAAGAAAACAAAACAAAAAAAAAGAAGAGAACAGAAAAGAAAAAAAATAAAGACAAAAAGACAAAAAAAGAAAAAAGAATATTCATCATATTCTTAAAATGACAAAACAAAAAGTCATACATGTCAAATGTGCATGTCCGCAACATGCATACTCACATATTTCCAACTCCAGCTTTGGGCATAAAAGAGCTTTCTAATTCTTTGAAAATATGGACTTAAATTAATAAGGACTCAACATCAACAATATGCCGCCATGATGCAATCATCATAAATTTCCAACAAGCTGAACTAAAATGAAAGCATCCAGGTTATATTCTCCTCAGTTCCCCTACCAAGAGCAGCCTCCTTGTAGTTTTTTATGCAATGATGTTTAAATATTACAATAATGTAACTATCATGTTTGCCAAGTAGTTTCCAAGAATTTGACAAGTCAATGCTATCCATCCACAAACTACCATGCTTATTTAGATTTGGCAAACTAACCATGTAACATAGTTATTTAGATGAATTTCAGGGCTTTCCTACCAATTTAGTAGGCTTCAAACTCATTATGCAGTTTTTTAGAACTTTTGCTATTTCAGCCTATGTTACTTTGTCTCGGATACAGGTGTCGGGTGCGTATCTAGGGGTTGGACTCATCAAATCTCAAATTTAAGGGTACACGAAGTTGGCACAAAAGAGTAATATTTTAATATTTTTAATCCATTATATGAGATAAAATGGTACTAAATGTAACATAGTCAAAAAAGTGTTTTATAGCAATTACACAACAAATGATACATATAAGATAGTGTTAAATACAAAAATACGAGAAGTATCCAATGGAAAGTATTGGACACATATTGCATACCCTTGTCCAAGTGTCGGGTGTTCGACATAGGTATTTGATTTATTTAGAAGAGTCCATGCAACCATGAATGCAACTGCTCCTTTGAGCATGAACTGTCCTTTCCCAAAAAGTAAACATTTCTAACACAGTAATAACATTACCATGTGATAATATTCAAATTTCTCATATTTACGCTTGTTAATGTAATAACTACTCTTTTCATTCAGTTATTTGAAAGTACATGCAGATATTATATTTACGCAAACAGGTCAATTTAGCTTATAATACAGAATATGTGTACGGAGTTGGGAATTCCAGTCAAATCAGAACTCTATTTGAATGGTTTATTTATGAATTCCAGTTTTCGGTTGAATTCAGAAAAAGTCAAAACTAATTAAATTTCTGAAAATTTTGGCTACATTATGGGTTAATTAAATTTATGAAAATTTTGGCTACATCTTGACCGGTCAAATTTACAATGAATGAATTGCTAAAACTTGAAAAAACTATCTATTTTAAGGTCATTGATGTCAAATTTCAAATTCCTTTTTTCCTCCTTTTCTTGTGCAAACTTTCCCCACAGAACCTCAGCAAATTTCAAACCACAGATGGCTTGCAAGGTGTCAACAATGCCGACAAACCTAATCAATATGCATCTGAACCTGAAAATTTAGCAAATTTCAAACCACAGATGGCTTGCAAGGTGTCGACAATGCCGACAAACCATAAATTTTAAATTCCTCCCTCCTGAAATAGTAGTAAAACTCTTCTGAAGTCTTTACAAATAAACCTACAATGAGAAATTTAAGGAATTGCATATCTGAACCACTTTGTTCGAATTCAAACAACACAATTTTCTCACCTCAAATACTTTCTTCAAGGAATACTTCCAAATACATCATATATTACAGGAGCCAAAATTAGCTCAAATCTTCTTACGCATCCAGCATATGTATGACTTAATTGTATATCTAGCTCAAAACCATAAAAATTCCTTTTCAAAAGCTTATTCCGATGAAAATAATTGTCTTACGAGAACAATTAATTGCATATCACAAGTACAAAGCTTAAATCCCTAAAATTCAACTATCAACAACCTACTTTTTTGTTCTTGTAACTTCACTGAAAATTTCCCCAATCTACATAATAACATGCAAAGAAACACACGATAAACATGAATTAAAGTCTAAACCCTAACTCTTTGAATCAATGCTATATCTGAAGAGTCTCAACGAAACAAAAAGAAAGAATTTCAGATCTGAAGAGAGAACCTGCGTAGCTGTTGGTGACATCGACGGTCCCTCTGAAGGAAGCGCCGAGTAGGACTCCGACGACGCGTTTCTTAGTGTCGCGAGCGACTCTGTTGTAGTGATCTACGATGCTCAGAAGAACAAGAGGATGAACTATAACCTTCTCGATCGAACGAGCCGAGATTTGCTGTGTCTTGATTACATCCATTTTCTAGAATCGCAAGCAATGTCACTGAGACGAATCCGCCGAATATATATATATGTATATGTGCACGGTAGAGTTTTCTCGCGGTTTCTTGCCGGTGAGAAAAGCAACAAGAAAGCGAGCATATATATATATACAGCTCCACTTGGTTTTCAAATTCTATTTGGGCTTTTGATAGTTTGAGTTTGAGATAGTAGTTTGGGCCACTTTTATCTGGGCCCAACTTTGTGAATAATACGCTCTGTTTCTGTTTGGTTTTAAAATTGTTTTGAGTTTTTTGTGAATTGTTTTATATTTTAATAAATTTCTTTTTTTACTTTTTAGATGCACTTAATGTAAATACACTTAAAGAGTAAAATATTTTTAAATTTAAAAAAAAGAAAGATTCACTATATATGGAGAAATACCAACACAAAAAAAGGTACACTTTGTATTTTTTTGTATTTAGCGAATTTTTTAAAACATCATTCATAAATATTTTATTTTTAAGTGTATTTAGAAATTTAAAATTTTTAATTAAAATAATAAAAAAATCACTAAATTTAAAATATATATATATATATATATATATATGAAAACAAAAGACTCAAAAAGAGTTTTCAAACAGCCTGATTCGGATCCAAACTTTCAAATTCCATGGACTGAGCTCAAGCTAGAGTGCAGCTACCAAACCTAGAGTTGAAATTTAGAGGCCCAATTACTGCACAGCCCACTGGGTCATTACAAATGCAACACCACGGCCCGTTTGGTAGAGCGGTGGAAAAACGATTATAGATTAACTTAACAGATTATGGCTTGTAGCTGTAAACATAAACTGTTAACCTATTTGGTATAGCTACGAGATTATGAATTTAAGCAGCAGAGTAGTATTTGGTTAATAAGTTGTAAAATTTTTACTGTATATTTGTTTTTTCTACCCTTATATGATATAAAAATGACTATTTTGTCATTTTTTTCAGTTTTAATTTTAAAAAAAAATATTTCTTTAAAAAAGTTAATATAATTAGTATTAATTAGTATCAATTAATATAAAAATTGATACATTTGCTAAAAATGTAATTGAAGTGTTATTGTCACAATTATTTTCCATTATAAATTAATTAGTATCAATTAATTGCTTAATTAGTATAAATTAATATTAAAATTATTAATTAGTATCAATTAATAACTTAATTAGTCTCAATTAATGTTAATATTTGGGTATTGACGAGGGCATTTAAGTAATTTTAGCCCCCCACACCAGTTGTGCGCTTAAGTCAAAAATTTAAACACTCCCCGACCAGCTTTTGAGATAAGTTGAGAAATAGCTTGATTTAAGCTATAAGCTAGTTAACTTAAACTACACCAAACACAATATTTTAGCTTAAATTAAGCTAAAAATTAAAATAAGCAGCTTATAAGATCTACCAAACAGGCCTCTTGTCTAATTTGAAACTCTATTTAAATTTCAATAATGCTAATGACTATAAATTGAGTGTGTTTGGTTTAAATTTTTTTAAAATTGAGATTTTACTTTTTTTATTTTTTATTTTTAGTGAATATTTTTAAAATTTTAAGCAAATTTCTTACTTTTTTAAATGCACCTTACTTGTATGTATTTAAAAAGTAAATTATTTATGAGAAAATATTTTTAAAAATTAATAAATACGCAAGAATACAAAAAATATACTGTATTCTTGTATTTTTTTTTGTATGCTTAATGAATTTTCTAAAGATTTTTTTAACAAATATTATACTTTTTTAGTGTATTTATATTAGGTGCATCTAAAAAAAATTTAAAAAAAATTTACTTAGAATATTAAAAACATTTAGTGAAAACAAAGAAATACGAAAAACAAAAAATTTTAATTTTCTAAAAAGTGCATCTTGAACATCCAAACCAAACAACCTGATTATTTTTTTTTTATCATAAATTATTTACTATTTAATGTTTTAACATTGTATTTCTCACTACTTATATTTGTTACTAATATAGTGCCGTTTTGGCAACAACAATAAAAAGCTGCGTTTTGCCATCACTCCAAAAACGCCAAGCTTGGCCAAAACGCTGAAATGGTGATTTGGGAAGACCCAAAAAAGCAACACCCAAATTTACCAAACTACCTGCTAGAACATTGTAATTAATTAATTCAAAAATCTAAAAATAAGGATATTTTGGTCATTTTAGAGTGATGTGACACTTTTAAAAAATATTAAATCAAAAATAAAAAAAGTCAGCTTTTTACTAACTTCCCAAATCACTTCCAAAAAAGCCAAAAAACTTGATAAAAAACTAAAAGTCAGATTTTTACCAACTTCCCAAAACACCCCATAATAGTCTCACACCACTTGATAAATAAAATATAGTAAAAAAATACGACAATGCTAGGAAACAGAAACAATATAGACTCAGACACATGTCTCATGAGTGTGAGTCTCATATCATATGTGAGTTTACATCATATGAACCTCACCTCTTGTGAAATATCTATGTCTCATTTTGTGTTTGGTATTCAGTGCATTTAGACTTATTGAAAAAATATGATTATCATAGTATTATTATTTAATTTTAAGTTCTGAGTTTGCATAATGTAAATAAATTAAAAACTTAATTTATGGAAAAAAAAAGCAGGCTTCTCATAAGAATATGTATTCATGATTTCATGCCTGTATTTTTTTTCAGCTTTTTTTTTTTTTTTTTTTCATGCTTAATTTTCCGGAAGTGGATTCACACCCACCCTGATTATACTTGTTTATCATGATATGCGATCAATCATCAATACCACAATTCTAGTAAACAAAGAAAATCAAATTAAAAGAGAAAATGTTGAGCTGTTGAAGCATAGACTTAGATATCATTATAGTATACAATTGCGTAAGAAATAAATGGATCAGATTAGTGTTGAATGTGCATAATGTGAAATTAGCTTAGTTAACATGAAAGATGAGTTACATATTTCAATATTATTCACCCAAAAGGAGTGTCACAAAAAGTTTAAATCTCTTATGTAATTGCATTTAGTTAAGAAAAAAAATGTAAAATAAGATTTTAAAATCAGAATAACCTTTTTGTTTCTCATTTAAGATAATTTTTTCTTCTTGTTTACTTTTTTTTTTTTTTTGTAGTCTATCTAATAAACAAGAAAATAAATAAATAATGGAGTTTTGATTTTTAAAATTGAAGAAACAAAATTAAGTTGAAATTAAACATAGTTATGGGCGATTTCATCAAGTATATTAGTTAGATAAAATTCAACTTGTACAACAAAAAAAAAATTAACATTGCAGTACACTTTATTTTAAACTAAGCATGAAAACTATTTGATTTACCACATTAACACGGCACGACATGATACAATAACATGAAAAAATAATTTTAATACAAACCCGAGATAATAGTGCACGAACACGAGAAACGATTCCCAGTCTGACATGGTTCCTTGGCAATGTCAACACATGAATTTCAAAGAAGGAACCAGACCCAAGGTACGACCAGTTTTGTAGTCCAAGAAAACATCTCATGAGAACTCTAAAGCACAATGCAATTTCCAAGCATTTACATACATAGATCTATATATATACACATAATAAATAAAGAAAAGTTAAGGATCATAAAAAAGAAATTTCATGAAAATAATCATTAAAGATTTATAATTCTTAAATTACCTTGATTAGTGTGTGATGTTTTATTTTAAATGTAATTCAAAGGTCATAAATCTTTCACGATCATTTTTATAAATTTTTTTTCATGATACCTAACATTGCTCTAATAAATACTACATATATATTAATATTTATCCAACAGAGTAAACACAGAGAGAGAAAACAATGTTGAATAAGCATGCAAATGAGAATGTCGAAGAACTTTTAAACTTTCAATTTCTAGAGCTACGTGCATTTTACAACAATATTTGAAATGTCTGTCATTTCTTGTTTTTCTTGTTTTTGTTTTTGATGCTAAAACCTAAAACATCTTCGAATCATCGCAACAACTCAGAAACATTTTCTTAGATTCGAAGCTTGTTTTTTTACATGAAGCTTAAACGCAGATCCAATGGTGGATGATTCATTTCAGCCTTGCATTCATTTGCAAACAACCTTAACTTCTCAGAATCTGATTCACTAAATGAGTTCAATGGAAATAGTTGCAAAGTCTCCATCGCTCTTTCTGGCCCCGAAACTTGATTTATACTGACTAAATCTGCAAAGAGAACAAAGTGAAATACAATCAGTAAAATTTTCTTGGTCAAACCCTCTGTTTGGTTCTCGGGAATATTCAAGAATTACAAAAGAAAAAGCTTGAACACGGCCGAGAAAGTAAAGCCTTTATTTTCAAATGATTTTTTTTTTTTTATGAGCGAAAAAGAAGTATATTGATGTAAAGTAAAAAAACATATGCTAACTATTTTGGCACATATTCAGGGAATAGCTTACGTTTTGCAGAAGAAACCGAAACCCTATCTTCTCGGTGGATCTCGTGTTGTTCAGTAACTGAAACTCTGCGACGCTTCTGTCTCTCCCTAGCTTTATGGTTTTGAAACCAGTAAAAAACATTCTTACTCTCGATCTTGCCATAAAAGCTCAATTGAGAAGAGATCTTTTGGATCTGGTCAGTGCTTGGGGTTCGAAGTCCGGCCCTGAACAGGTCAGTCAGGACTTTGACCTGTTCAACGGTCGGATTCCACCGCCCACACTTATTTCCAGCACCACCACCGTTGCCACCACCACAGCGTGGCTTTACACAAAAGCCTGACATTCCAATATCATCCATATATATCTAACTAAAGTTTGAAAAACTTCTGAAACTCTGATCTTTGGTTCTGGTCAGCTTCTGAACTCAAAAAAGAGAGTTCGTGTGTCCATATATAAATACAAGAAGAATGATTAGTTTAATATTGTTTTTGTTTTTTTTTTTGATGTGATGAAGTTTGGATTTGTTTAATGTGAGATTGAAGAGAGAATCAGACCCATTTGTTTAAGTGCAATATGCTTTGATTTTAGAGCATGTGAGAGGGAGAGAAGTTAGAGGATTTGATGGAATTGTTTTTTGGGCCAGCTTTTTTGTGTAAAGAGAGAAAAGGAGAGATAGACATGCACAAAAGCTGCCACCATTCAACATTTCGGTCGGCGAGCAGACAAAGAGTTAAGTTCTCAAATTTTTGTATAAAAAAACATACACTAATTAAAAAAATATCAAATTCTATGTTAAATTTTTTCCCCCTTTTTAAGTCTGATGATATGGATTTTATATAACATAAGGAAAAACTTTCATGTATAGAAATAGGGCACATAATAGAGATATAAACCTAAAAAAAATAGAGATACTATTAATGTTACTTATTCAAAACATTTAATCAAAAAAAAGTGCATACAATTTAAAATCAACAATGTTACATCCACACAAAATCATCTCCCCAAACCCTCCAAATGACATTGCAAGGTTGTTTGAAAGGTTTTGAGAGAAGAGAGGATGGTCCCTAATTTACCTTTTTCTTATCACATCATTCAGGGGGTTTGTGAGGGAGAAAATTGTATAAATGAAGCATTTTTCATTTAAAACTTATAGACAAAATTCATTCTAATATGGTCTAACAAAAATAAATTTATATTTACAATAATGATTTTAGATTCAAGATACTTTTAGGGTACATAGCATTTATGTAAAAATAATGGTGTGAGTCTCATATTTTTTGTACACATAGTACAACTGTGTGTATATATATATATATATTAATAGTGAGTGCAAATGTATATATTTGCAATATGTCTTTTTGGGAGGTTTGATATGTGATGAGTTTGAAAGTTATTTGACAGTTCTCTACCATTATAATTGTTTAGTAGTAAATTTTATGAGCATTATTCACAGTTTCTTGATTATATGTTTTTTTATAATATGACAGATATAACTCATGGTGTTGGTTAGTGGTTATCACTTGATCATCACGTTTACACTCTAAAATGAGTTCAAAGAACCCTACTTATGACACAATTTCCGATTATAAAAGAATATGTTTAAATAGACTTAGAGATCTAACTAGTGTAATGAGTCCAAAGCCACAAAGACATATGAGTAATACAAGTTTTGTTCATAAACTAATGGATGTATTGTATATTGTATTGTATGCTAAAGATCGTGTGAATGGTTACTGGAAAAGAAGTTTGGTGTGAGTGAAAGTCAAAGTTCACATTGTCTGATCATAGTTGGATGGTTGTGATCAAAGCCCCTGACATGGATACTGATAGTTTTAGTTGACCAAGGAGTTCCGTTCAGTCAAAAAAAAAATTCTGATCCACCAAGAATCCTCTAGAGTGTTTTTTTCTTAAAATTTCTTAAAATGGTGTATTGTGTGGTTGAGATTTAATGTTAAAAAATTGATGTGACTTGTCATTAAATCTCAACCACACAATGCACCACTCTAAAAAACTTTAAAAAAAAAAAAACTCTAGAGGATCCTTACTCATTTTGATCAGCCAGTTCAGTCAAAAATTGTTGTGATTAAACATGGGGACAGTGACTAGATGACAATAAAGCCACCAAGTTGAGATTTGAGAGACACAAAACTCAACTCTCAAATCTCAACTCAATAGAAACCATTAGGAAACTGACCATGATTTGGCTTTTCTTATGTCATAAGGCTCCTGTCTTAAGCAAATAAATGTCCTTATTTAACTAACCAAAATAACTCGAATTGGTCAAAAAAATAAATATGCAGATGAAATTTATTTTGGGTGCGATATATGTTATTAAATTTGAATCTATACATCATATATATGTTATTTTTTGATCATTTTTCAGGTTTAGTAATGTTCTTATTTATAAATTAAAAAAAATTAAAATTTAACGAAAACTGATTTGATGATTATTTTCGTTTTCAAAATATTATGAGCAACTTATGAAATTTAATAAATTTTTGTAATTAAAAAAAAAAAAAGTGGTTCTAATGTTTAAAAAATTAAATTTCTTTCACTCCTTCCTCTCTAGCTCCTCTGGACACAACCTATTACTCATCTCCATCACTAGCCACCACATTTAGCCACCTCCACCTCTGGCCACTGCTTTTGACAATCACCTTCGGTTAGAAACTACTTTCGATAGTCAGCAAATATTTTCAATCATCGACAATCACCTTTGGCCATCACTTTCTTGTGTTTGTAATTTCTAACTACTCATTCATTTATTTTTAAAACAAAAATTTAAAATATATGTATCAAATATTCTATTATTTTTATTTTTATTAAAAAGTAAATATACATATATTTAATATATTTTACAAATAAAATAATAATGATAAGGATTTTTTTTCCCACTTTGTTGTTCAAAATTAGGGAGCTTAATTAACTTTCATTATGATACTGTTTTTGAAACTACTTTCGATGGTCGGCAAATATTTTCAATCATCGACAATCACCTTTGGCCATTACTTTCCTGTGTTTGTAACTTCTAACTACTCATTCATTTATTTTTAAAACAAAAATTTAAAATATATGTATCAAATATTCTATTATTTTTATTTTTATTAAAAAGTAAATATACATATATTTAATATCTTTTACAAATAAAATAATAATGATAAGGATTTTTTTTCCCACTTTGTTGTTCAAAATTAGGGAGCTTAATTAACTTTCATTATGATTTCTAGGTGACTTTATGGCGCATGCAATGAAGATTGTATTTTAGGTGTTGTCCTTTTTTATGAGGTAAGGTTAATTAATCAATTAATCCAAAGTTGAAAATTCAAAGTTTGATGAGAAGTTGGAAAAAAAAACATCCTACTATTATTGTGCTTCTCTGATATCAGAGACTTTGGATTGGATTGGATTCGTGCCCCTTCATTTAAAGTGGAGTGTCAAATTGTAGTGCGTGCTTTTTGCTCTACAATTCCCAATAACGTTTTGTCTGTTAGCACTTGTCACTTGTTGTGTGGTTTGTTCTAACTCCTACGAATGTTGCTATATTTTATATTTTTTTCTTCTAATCAACTCTGATTTTAACTGGAATATTGTAGGTAAATATAGTGAGAAGATTATTTAAATTTTTATGCTGTTATAATATTACTGTATATATAATACAAATCCAGTCATGCTGTAGAGCTCTAATTAGAGCTGCTACAGTGCAGTTTTAATGAGCTGTCTACCTATTAAAAAAAAACAAAACAAAACAAAACAAAACAAAACAAAACAAACAAACAAACGGTGAAGTGAAAGACAAAAAATGGAGAAGAAAAAGATAAATTAATACTCTATTAGAGATCTATTTTTAGAGGTCTAAATCATTTTTGATAGAAATCCTCCATATACATGATATAAAATCTCACTGCATGTTAGAATTACATCACAAAAAATTTCATCAATGTTGTATCCATTACTCTGAATGTTGCAACTTATGGATGCATTTCAAAAGCATTGGGCTAATGTTTTTTGAGTTTATTTTGTATGTTAACGTTTTTTTTTTTTGCCCTACAAAAAATGATCCTGAGTTTAGTAGTGGTTCAAAATTTTTGGTGGTTTCAGATTAAATATCAAAATAAGATTTTATCTAATTAAACTTTTTAAGAGTTGGGCCATCGATAATAAAAAATTTAATGTTTTTATTTATTATTATAAGCATTAGGTAACAATTTAAGTGGCCAAATGGTTCAACGACCTATACTTGAGTTAGTTGATGTTAACTCAATGACTTGGATAAGTTTATAATTTGTTTTTAAAATCATGAACTGTGTCTCTCATATATGCATTTTTCATAAATATATATATATATATATATATACACCAACAAGTGTAATCAATTGGACCAATAAAATCATAAATACAGAGTCAATGTCAAACTAATTAAAATTATAAAGATCACAATGATATATTGGTCAAAATGTAAAAACTACAGTTGTAATATCTAAAAGATAAATGTATGCAACTAGGTTTTGAAAGGGCGGCCCAAGAGTTAGCAAAATTTAAATAAAGTTCAAGCTCATTTTAAATTATTTAAATTTTGTTGGGATTATATTTATTCAACGAGTTAGCTTAATCAATAAAGTATTTTCTTATGAGATGTTGATCACTACAAGTAGAGCTTCTTTTCCAATCATATCGATTATTAAAAGTAAATAAAAAATATTTATCTATTCACAAAATTTTGAGTTTGAACTAGTTTGCAAGAATTATGTACTAAGCCTCCGTTTGGGAAGTGGGTTGGATTTTTGACTTTTTGGATTTTTTGGCTATTTTAGCCTTGGCTAAAAAGCTTGGTTTGGGAAGGGTTTTTTGGCTTTTTTGACTTTTTTTGTGAGAGAAGAGTGTAATAATTATGGTTTGGATGTGATATTTTGTTTGTTATAGCTAAAATAACTTATTTTGTCTTTTGTGACTAAAATAGCCTAAAACTAACTTGCCAAACGGACCCTAAATACTCCTAGTCTTTATTCATCTTTGCCAAACAACCCTACATACATAGCATAGATATGGAAATAGAAAATGCTACACTTGCTAATTATTTTTATCTATTGATATGACACATCATAATAACATGTGATACATTTTCTTGTGATTAATTTAAAATGAATTTACATAAAATTAATAATTTAGGGTAGAGCATCGGCAATGAGAGAGTATACTAATTAAAATGCTCAACAATCAAAGAGTCAATTCAGCATGGGTTTATTCAAACTTCACTTTCATTAGCAATCGTACAGTAAAAAATTTGGAAAATAATTCTGTAAATAAAAAAATGCATGCGCATGTTATTTCTAATCTATAATAACACATAACTTTAGGTGCGTACTAAAAACTTGCCACACATATCTTCATGATTGCATTATCACTACCAAGCTCCAAAGTCAAAAGTAACTTTACGTACCAAAAAAGATTGAATGGATCTATCTATCTATCTATTTATATTATGCTAAAAAGAAGGCTGAATTTGGTATTTTTGTCTTATTTTTTTGATTTTTTCAAAATACTCTTACAGTAGTTAGGTGGGCAATTATGTCCTAAATTTAATTTTTTTCCTTCAAATCCTTAACTTCTAATTTCTTATTTTAAACTCAGTCATATAGTTCATGATCTTATTTTTTAAAATTAAATAATTATATGTGCATGCATGACATGTGCTACCATTTTTAG